TTTAGAAAATAGAAACAGACTCACAGACAGAAAACAAACTTAAAGTACCAATGGGGAGGGAAAATTAGTTTAGGATTAGCAGATGAAAGCTATTTTATAGAAAATATCTATAAAACAACAAAGTCTTACTTTATAGCACAGGGAACTATATTCAATATCCTGTAATAAACCATAATGGAAAAGAGTATGAGAAAGTATATATATATATATATATATATATATATATATATATATATATACACACACACACATATATGTATATGTACATGTGTGTATATATATATATATATATCTGAATCACTGTGCTGTACACCAGAAACTAACACAACATTGTAAATCAGCTGTACTTCAATTTTTAAAAATTTAGCAAATAAATAAATAAAATATCACTTTCAGGCAGTATACAACCACAATTTACACATATGGAGTACTTGTTTTTATTCTAAAATTTACCTTTTTTAGCTTTAAAGGGTGCAGCCTAATTTTAGTATTCAAAGTTTATTCAGTATTTGTACTCAGCTTTATCTTACTGAGATCCTATATTTTTAAGTTTTTATTTTTCTAAAATATATATTTTTTTTAAAAAAACTGTCTTTGTCTCCTGTCCAGTTTGGGTTCCCTTTTTTGATCCTTTCCATAATCACTCTAATCTTACCTGAAGTGAATCATTCCAAGAAGAGATGTACCAGGTAGGATTATATTTTCATTTTTGGTTTCCAGTAATTTCTTGAGGATATTGAGCATGAACCAATAGCTTTAGGAAACCAACTTCAAAGTTCTAAGATCTCTTGCTTGGGCATAATTAATACATGCCTTCTAACCTAGCATGTTTGTAGCTTAGGTTACTTTTCCAAATGTTATAACTTGTTCTCACCTGAGTTGAAGTTTGTTCTTTCTAGTCAAGGGCAATTGTCAATTCAAGTACATTTCAAAGATTTATATAAAGGACAAGAAACCACATTTGTTTCAGGGACTTACTGTATTTTCCAAAAGCATATTCACATTTTTAATAAGATATTTTATAGATTTCAGATTAAGTGTAGAGACAAGATGTCCAAAAACTTTTGTTTTGTTTGCACAGAAAAGTTATATGTAATATCAAATAATACCTCTCTAATGTGCCAAGAGCTACAACTTGGTATTCATTGCATTACCTACACCTGGCTCAGCAGAGGTGCAAGCCACTGTTAGCTGAACAAATGCATCTGAACAGTCTCAGTGTCCTGAACCATTCCACACGCGGGCAGGGCCTCCGATGCCCTACTGGCAGCCCCGTGGTTATCCTCAAGCCCTGTGAGGAATCTTTCTTGGTGTCTCCCTTTTGTTTCCTCTATGAACCTGCTTGTTGCTCTCAGTGTCTTTTTCTTTAGCTAGTCTCTAAATGTCTTCCAAATTTTTTTGGTTTATTGACTACATCTAGTTTATTAGTAAGTATAGATCAGGTTGCGATATTGAGTCAGAGCTAAAGAAAGGAAAATATAGTTCCTAAATACTCCACCATAACTTTGTAGTTGACATTGTTTATAGTTATTTGACACCCATGAGGTGTTAATATTTGTTTCATAATACTCTTTCTAATTAGAGTCATTTAGCCAAATCAAAGGTTGAAATGGCTTTCCATCTGCATATACAAGATCATGAAAATAAAGTGTTTAGATATTTTTCATGAATTATCTTTAAGTTCTTAAGACACAAGGAGGGGAACACAGAAGAGGCTCTTTAAATTGTTGTTTTGATGACACAAATCATGTATAAAAGATTTCAAATCACTGAAAACAGTATGAATCTAAAGGCTTCAAAGTCATAATCCCACACACATCTGTACAAGGTCTACAGTAAGCCAAGCCTTGTGTTTCTTTCACCCTTTCTGCAATTCAAAGAAAAGTTGAAGGAAAATCCCAGGAGATGTAGAGAGCCAGTATGACTACAAGCAAATGTGGTCTGAGAAACAAGTGCAGACTAGCTGAGAGGTAGAGGCAAGGGCAGTACCAAAGAAGCAATACAGACATCCAACCAGTCCAAAGGGAAGGACCGTGGAAAGGAGACTGGCCAAGAAGTCAGGGGCAGAGAAGATGAGGAGATGCTGGCAAGCCAGTATGAGACAGGACAGAGCAAGGATGCTAGAGGCTCATTTCTGGATGGTGGCTGCAGAAAGTAAAGGTAGACACTCTGTAAGATATGAACAATATTAAAGAGTATAAAAAGAGATAGCTAATCTCAGGAAATTGACAATCTAGGTGGAAATATTGAGTTTATAGGTATGGAAAGTTAAATAACAAAATAGAACAATTTTTCAAGTGGTGTGGCAAAGGAATGTACAATTGAGTAAATACTGAATTATGAGTCAGGGAAGGCTTCAAAGTGGGGAGGAGCTTTGAGCTCAGTTTTAATGGATGAGAAGAGTATAAACAGGTTAAAGAAAGGGGGATTAACAGAATAAAAAAAGATGCGATCAGAAATATATCTAGTATATTATGGGAAAGTAAGTAAACCAAACTGAGGGGTGTATTAATCTTTTTTATTTTATTTTTTATATTTCATGATGCTTTGACACCTTGGGACCTTATCGATCCAAGGAGGGACTGCCCCTCTAAGGGATAGCAAATTCCCAGAGTTAGCAAACAACTTGCCTGCGAGCACAAGCACAACCTCGATATTCAAACCAATCCATCCCTATCCCATACCCCCTTAAGCCTCCTTTTATCAGGTTCCTGCAGGACAGGACACCATCCCCCAACCCTAAATCATCCGAGGGCCGGATACGGGGTACCAGACAACAAGAGACTACACCTGCAAAGCAGAGCCCACAGACATTATTCAAAATACCCAATCGTAAATTTGCTCTGCTCCTTACTCTGTCTTATCCATTCCTTCCCATGAAAACCACAATGAAGACTTTTGCCCACGCTTTCCCATCACTGACTGACCCTGGTGCTTCCTGAGGCCCTGCATGGCACAGCGGCTTGTCCCCTCCTCTTGGGAACTGTAAGTAACAAACCATCTTTTCAATGGCAGTCGTCTCCTGACCTGTTGGCTTCATTATACCGGAATAAATACAAAATCTTAGGTTCATTTTAAAAACAAGAGATGCAGATGCAAAGAGTTTTATTTAGATGTTGGTTTTGGAGTGCGGTCAGGAATTCTGGGGTGTGAGACCCTTCAGGGAGTCTTAGAGATCAAAATCATATGCAAGTAAAAGATTTCTCCCAGTGCACGAGCCCAATGGATTGTGATGTAAGGGAGTATGAAAAGACCATTGGTCTGGTTTCAGGTTCCTCATTGTAGCTAATCTTTGAGAAGCTACCACTGGTTGAGTATTAGTATTGTGTCACAGAAGAATATTTACAGTTATCTGTAAAGCTTCTAAAATACTTCTCCCTTAACTGTATATCTGCATGAGGCCAAATTTTGTTCATATACTTGAACCAAAGCAACATATTGAATGCAGAAACATACCAGAATACAGCTGTCTTCTATTAAATCAGATTTTAGAGATTTGCAGCAATGAAAAAGTGATATTCTTTTCACTAAATCTGTTTAATTTGTAAAATACATTTATTTTTCATAAAACTGTTATTAGTAACATGTAATGTGCTTATTATTGTTATTTTTTAATGAATCATTCAATAAATCTTTTCAACATTCCTCAGTTTTAATATCAAATGTGATAAATATAGATAGATGTAACCTACTGTTAAGAAGGAAAAGGGGTCATGAGATCAAAATTTTGAGAACTGCGGTGTAATATTGGATAACACTGGAAAAGCAATGAGGAGCCAAGCTGTGAAACAGTTTGAATTGCAGGCTAACTTGGGGATTTTTACCATGGAGGGAATGGAGTTTTGAGCAGAGAGATAATATGATGAAAGGAACTTTTTAAGAAGAGAACATATGTGCTTATGTGTGTGTGTAGGACAGTTCGAAAAAGGTACATGTCTGTTTCGTGTTTTTTGGTAGAGGGGGAGGCAGTATCGGAGGCAGAGATATCCAGCAGGAAGCTGAAGGAAAATCCTAGACACAAGGTAATCAAGTTCTTAAGGAGGCATATAAGGAGGGAATGAAAATAATAGCTAGTATTGCTAATAGGTATCGAGAGTTTACCATATGCCAGAAACTGTGCGAAATACTTGGTGCAGGTTACCTCGTTATCTCCTCACAGTCTTCTAATAGTTAACTATAAACTATATTGTAAAGAAGAGAACACTGAGGTACAAAGAGATTAATGTAAGATGGCAAGTAAGCGATGAAGCTGAGGTCTGAACCCAGGCAGTCTGACGACAGAACCTGAATAGTCAATGCAGCATAAAAGAAGTCATTTCAGGCATTGGGTGAGTGTGACAGACGTCTTCAGTGTCCTCCCTGACCCCTTACTGGGCAGCATCCCCATCCCCAGCCATTGCTATTAGTGGCCACTCCTGGCTCACAGCTGCACCCTTTAGGGGTGGGTGATTGCTCTTGGCTGACAGGAGGTGATTAGGAGGCCTGCGAGGCTGTGGGCAGTGCTCATGGCCAATCAGTCGCTGTGCAGGTGTGCAGGAAGGCTTCTGGCACATGCTCCACTCTCACATGAGTGCTTTGTGTTGGATCTCTGGCGAGACTGAGACTAGACCTTTCCTGAAAGTACGGATTTGTCTGACTTCTTCCCCTGCCCTCTCTTGCTACCATCACTCCCTTCTAGTGTCTCAGGAAATAAACCATCTTTCAATAAACCATCTGAGTAAATCTGTCTCAGCCTTTCAATAAACCATCTGAGTAAATCTGTCTCAGCCTCTGCTTCTAGGAACCTGGCTGAGACACTGAAGAAATTTGTTTGGAAACTATAATGGAAAATAAGGTGAAAAAAATGTCTAAACCTTTAAAAAATAAATAGCCTAGGTTTTTAAATTTTTATTTTTATTTATTTATTTTGGGGGGTGGTAATTAGGTTTATTTATTTAACGAAGGGACTGGGGATTGAACCGAGGACCTTGTGCATGCTAAGTATGCACTCTACCCACTGAACTATACCCTTCCCCATAAACTACCTTTTGAATTTAAAAAAATACCTTTTGGAATTCCATTCTTTCTGTGAGCCTCAGACTTTATAGCAGTCTCTGTGATGGATCTATAATGTGGTCCCTCATTAACTTGACTTTTTAAAAATATATATCTGGACAACTTGAGAAACTCATTAAAACCTGAGGCACATGCATTCCAAATCACAACTCCAATGAGAATGTTCAGTGCTTTTTTCTAATCAAGCTATTCTGGGCGCCCTGCTTTTCCCTCAGCAGAACAGGAACCTCCATGCTCTATTCATCTTTATATCCCACCAGCACCTAGCATAGTGTTTTATACTTACGAGATACACAGTAAATGTATTAAATGAAAAGGAAAAATCTCAGAGTTTATTAAATCATCTTACTGGCATCTTTATGCTGAAGGATATCCTTCTGAGAACCTAATGTATTTGTTCTCTCACATGCGTGAAACTCACCTAGGGGCACTTGACAAAAATGCCATTTGAAGGGTCTCATCTCTCCTACACTCTCTACTTGTGATTTTGATTCTCTATGGCTAAAATAAAGTTAGGAATTTGCATTTTTAGCAATGCCACATTATTGGATCACATTTGGAAAAACACTGCTTTAAAATACTTCAACATGACATGAAGCTACCTATTAAAAAAACAGGAAGATTTGAGATCTAAAGGGCATGAACTTCTCTTACAATCATGAAACTTCTCTTACCCATAACTATCATTACAAGATGTACAGGCCAGTTTGAAGATCTTAGAACATTTTCAGACTTGCCAAGTTTTACTGAGATGATTTCGTTAGTAAACATGGGAACAATGAAAAAATGTATCTGATGAGTTTGGTATTTAAATGTATGTCCAACGTATGTTAGATGCCTTCTAACGTGCTATTAGTACTCCTGGGTCCTAGGTTGTCCCACCACACATTAACCACTGTGCTTTGTACAGCCTTCAGGCAATTTGCCCTTCCATCCTTCAAAACAAACAAACAAAAAATAAATAAATGAATACTTTTGAAGCATCTCTGAGGTAAGCGACCTCTGCCACCTAGAAAGGGCTATTCAAGTGATGTCTCCTCTGGGAAATTGTACTGCAAAATGATAAATCTGTCAGTGACAGTGATGACCATGAAAAAGTCAGAGTTTTTGGGCTGTCTCAGAGGAGTTCATTGTCCATACTGAAAGTCAGTGATTTACAATAAACCATGCTGGGAGGGACAGCTGAAAGGATTATGACAGAATCATCCTCAGTTTATTCACAGTCATTCTTGCCTTTAGGAGAGACTCTAAAAAGACTGTGAGTAGGTTGGCTAGCCATGGCATTGCTACAATGGCTGGCAAAAACGCTTTTACCCTCTTATCAATGAACACGTCATGGTGTGCCAGGGCATATTTCAGTTCTGTCAATTATCAATAAATTTTGTGTCTATTTAGCTAACATTTCTTCTTAAAACATGATATCATAACTTAAGGTATGGAAAACTTCCTCTCCCAGCACAGAATAGTAAACTGCTAAGGGACTGAAACCCCAACCAAATAACAAAATACAAAAATGAACTGCCTGAGAGGCAGTAAATTCTGGAGAGAAATTAAAATTTGGAAAACGTGACCAGCATGGGGTGAATTTGCTGCTTTTTTATAGCTTGGCTTCAGGGGTAGACTGCAGATGAAGCATATGAGCAGCTGGAACTCTCATAGAAAGTCAGTTATCCTTCTGTCCTGAGCAGCCAGGGGACAGAGCCTGGGGTTAACAGGGCTTCCAGAAAGTGAGACAAAACCCAGGAAAGAGAGAGCCTAAGAAAGGGAACCCCAAATACCTAAGTATAAACTCTGCCCAAGGCTGACCTCTGAACAGCACATACATATATGGCCAACTGCAAGCAGTTCCCCAAAAATTAAAGATCTGAAGTGAAATTTGAGCTTCCATCCACTACAGACAAGAAAGTAATAGGTTAGACTTAAACTGCAAACTCTTCCTTTCAGTTTAAGTCTAACCTATTAGTATTCTGCTAAAACAAGACCTCAGTACTCTTTGGAGAATTATGAAAGAATCCAGAGTCCAGAATCCTACAAAATAATAACATTGACAATATCTAGGATAGAATCCAAATTTTCTTGACATTCCAAGAATTAAAGAAATGTAAAAGATAATCAGCAGAGGATAATGCCAGATGATTTAGATGTTGGAACATCAAAGATGTTAGAAATACCAGTAGTTGAAGCAGCTATTGTAACTCTGCTCCATGAGGTAAAGGGAAATATCATTGGAATGAAATGATTGGAAATCTCACAGAGAAATAGAAACTATAAAAATAAAGTGGAAATTCTAGAACTGAAGAATTCAGTATGTGAAGTAAAAATTTCACTGGATCAACTTAATAGCAAAGTGGAGATGACAGAGAGGAAACAGTTAGAGAACTTGGAGATAGATCAATGGAAATTATTCAGTCTGAAGAGCAGAGAGAAAAAGGGGTGAAAAATAAAAAGAACAAAATGACAGAGTTCTGTGGAATAATACCTAGCAGTCTAACATACGTATAATTCATAAATAAAAGTTGAAAAAATTAAAGGGAGAAATAGATGATTCCACAGTTGTAGTTGGAGATTTTATCACAATTATAGTTAGAGAGATCTCTAGAAACTGAGAAAACAACTGGGAAAAAAATCAACAAAGACAAACTGATTATGAACATTGTTAACCACTTTGACCTGATTGATAGTGTTGGATACTTATATTTGAAAAGAAGAAAAGTCTGAAATCAATGACCTAAGTTTTACCTAAGAAGCTAAGGGAAAAAGAGCAAATTAAGCAGAAGGAAAGGAAAACTTAAAAGACAATGTGAGAAAGAAAATTTACAGTTTAATATCATTCATGAACTGAAATATAAAAACCCTAAGCAAACTATTAAATCAAATCCAGCTTTAAAAAAAATGCATCCTCACAAATTTGGGTTTTAACTTCAGAAATACAAAGTTTAATTGCCCACTTTAATAATTTAAAGAAGAAAAACCATATGATTATCTTCATAAATGCAGAAAATGCATTTGATAAAACATCATTTTTTGTGATAAAAATAGTAAAAAAGTAGAAATAAAACTTTCTAAATTTGACAAATTTTTATTTGTAAAACAATGAAAGCTTACTCTTGATATCAGGCAAATGGCATGGATAGCCACAATAACTATGTCTATTCAGTAGTGTACTGGATATCCTAGGCAACACAGAAAGGCATAAAGAAAAAGAATAGAAATGAAAAGGAAGAAACAAAAAGTTCATTATTTTGCAGGTAATATGATTGTCCCAAAGTATTAAACCCATAGTAACCTATGGATTAATTATTAGAATTAATTTAAAAAATTTAGCATGTTGCTAGATACATCAATA